TGCGGGGCCGCGGTCTGCACGAAGAGGAGCAGTAGCAGCGTGAGCCGGGCCCACGCGCCCATCGTCCGGGCACGGCCTGCCAGTGAGGTCGGGGACCCGAGTGACCCAAGAAGTCACCCTGGGCCGTGGCCAGGCCCTGGGATGCCTGCCGAAACTTCCTGACTAGGGCGATCCCTTTCCGGGACATCTGGGGAAAGAGACCAGAACCAAACTTTCCCCTGCAGGCTGGAGTGACCACTGGTGGCGCCCTCCGAGCCCCTAAATTCGTCGCCGGGCCTTGAAATCTGGGGGGTGGGGGGTAGGGCGAGCATCGTTCCTTGGGAAAGCGTATCTTACAGTTTTCGGATTGATACAGTCAATATTTAAATATTACATTAAAACCTCAATGATTAGTTTTCAGAACTTTTATTTTTAATCTAACGTGACAATCTTGACTTAGAATTACAAGGTTTTTTTTCTGTTTAACATTTTGATTTTGGGGCCGAGGATTTATCTCAGTGGTTCTGCCTCCTGCCTTGCAAGCGCAAGGTCACTAGTTCTATCCCTGGTTTAAAAAAAAAAATAGATTTTGTCCTTTGATTAAAATTAAATACTGAGATTATCACATCAGATTTTACTGAAAAGCTTTTGCAATTTACATAACTTAATTACTTGAAGACTATGTCACAAAGTTGCTAGCACATTGGAAAATTAAAAAGTAGGTCCTGCTCTTGCCTTGGGACACTGATTTAACTTGTTTGGGTGCGAACCTGGACACTAGAATTTTATTTACTTATTTGTTTTTCAGCTTTTTGAGACAAGGTGTCGCTATATAGTCTAGGCTGGTCTCAAACTCGCGGCCATCCTTCTGCTTCAATCTCCCCAAATGCTGTGATTACAGGCCTTTGCCAGCACGCCTGGCAGGGCACTGGGATTTTAAAAGCTTCCCTCAACTCCCCAAAGTTGAGGAATTCTTCGTTAGACATTTCAAACTGCATTAACAAATTTCATACATTTGATTTACTTAATTCTTTCAGCCTCTAACAAATTAAATGAGCAATACTTTTCTAAGCACATTTTGGCAATTTAAGAAAAAAAACTAGGCAATTGGGGTTTCTTTACTGTAGGCAAATAAATGAAATAAGACTGAGAAAATGTTCAGGATATTGGGGTTGGTTATACTATTTTTGTACCAGCTTTATTGAAATATAATTCAAATGCCATATAATTAAATTAACCTATTTAGAATGTAAAAGTTAGTTGGCTTTACTATATTTGGAGAGGTGTGCAACTACTACCACAATCAGTGTTAGAGCATTTCCCACTCCCCAGAAGAAACTTTGTCCACTGAGACCTCACCTCGCAAATCCCTCTCCATCTCCACTAGCAACCACTACTGTACTCTGTTAAGGTTTTCCACACAGAGACTCATACAAAGTGGTTTGTGTGTGTGTGTGTGCCCTCGCAAATCCCTCTCCATCTCCACTAGCAACCACTACTGTACTCTGTTAAGGTTTTCCACACAGAGACTCATACAAAGTGGTTTGTGTGTGTGTGTGTGTGTGTGTGTGTGTGTGTGTGTAACTTTTCATTTAGTGTAAGGTTTTCTTGTATGTTTTTCGGGGACCAATAATGTTCCTTAGCAAGAATGTATCTCTCCACATTGTATTTATCCACTCTAGTGATGGACTTTGACGTTGTTTCCACTTTCTGTTGGGAATAATGCTGCTATATACATGGGTGTACAAGCTTTTCTGTGGATTTAGCTTTCCTTTCCCTTGGGTATCTCTAGAAAAGTTGTTGGGCTATATGGAAACTCAATTTAACATTTTCAGGAATCTTCACACTGTTTTCCAAAGTATCTGTATGATTTTACCCTTCCATCAGCAGTGAGTTAGAGTTCTGGTTTCTCTACATTTTTGCCAAGCACTCTTTTGTCTATTTTTGTAATTCTAGCCATTCTGAGTGACAAGTAGTAACTTGTGGTTTGGATCTGCATTTCCCTGATGAATACTGAGGTCGAGGCTCATTTTACCTGCGTGTTGGCCATTTGTAAGTCTTCTGAAAATATTCATTCACTTTCTTGGCCTGTTTAGAAAAAATTGAATTGTTTTTTAAAAAAATATTCTGGATATGAGTCCCATATCAGATATGTTATTTGGAAATATCTTCTTTAATTCACTGGTTTGCCTTTACTGTCTTGAAGGTTTTCTTTGATGTGTAGACTTTTAAATTTAATTTTGATAGAATAAAATTTACCTTTCTGTTTTTCTGGTTACTTATGTTTTTGGTGTCATGTCTTTGTCATTGCCAAATCCAGAGTCACCAATATTTACAAGTATGTTTTCTTGTAAGAGTTTTATAGGTTTAAATTTTTAATTTAGGTTTTTGATACATTTTGAGTTTATTTTTTTGCATATATGGAGGTTAATTTTACTTGTCAATTTGACTGGATTAAGAGAAGCTCAGCTAGCTAGTAAGACATTATTGCTGGGTGTGTCAGTGAGGATTAATCTGAGAAAAGATTAGCATTTGAACAAGTAGATTGAATAAAGAAGACTACCTTCACCATTGTGGGTAGGCACCATCCCGTCCTTTGAGAGACACACAGAACAAAAGGCAGAGGGGAGGGTGAATTTGCTCTCTTCTTCTTATGAACTGGATCATTTTTCTTCTTCTTTGAACACAGGAGTTCCTTCTCCTTGGCCTTTTAGGCTCCAAGACTTAGTTCATTCTGTATTGCTATAGCAAAATACCTTAGGTTACTGAGGGGTGTGTCCTTGAAGGGGCTCTAGGAATTCTGGTCTCCTCCTCTGCTCCCCTCCCCTCCCCTCTCCCTTCCCTTGTTCTATTTTCTTCTTTTCTCTCCCTCCTCGTCTCCTTTTCTCTCACCTTGCCCCTCACTCTCCATTTTCTCATCAAGTGAGCAGTCTCCTTCACCACATGCTCCCACTGACAGGAGGTACAGCTTCACATTAGGCTCAGAGTGACAGGGTCAAGCGGCCATGCTGAAACCTCTGAAACTATGAGCCAAAATACATCTTTTTTCTTAAGTAACTTATCTCAGAGTGATGGCATGCTAACAAACCCAAGTATGATTTGCTGATCATTTTTTTTTTCAACCTGTATATGGGATAGGTTTCATCTAAAAAGCATATGTTGTCTTAACTCTCAGTATGTGTGACTTCAACTCTATTTGAAATAAGTTCCTTGAAAACTTGACTGATAAGATGAGTCACGGAGCAGCAGAGTGAGTCTTTAATCCATTATGATCGGTCTGCTAACAAGAAAAGAGACACAGACAGGAAGGGAAGATGGCCAGTTGGAGATGGAGGCAGGATGTGGAGTTATGCTTCCCCAAAGGAACACCTGAAGCTATCGAAGATGGAAGTGGCAAGGAAAGAATTTCTCAGAGGCTACAGAGGGAACCTGGTGATAACAATACCTTGATTTGGGACTTCTAGCTTTAAAAATATAAGATAACAAATTTTTCTTAATTCACGGGGTTTCTAGTACTTTGCTTTGTCAGCGCTGGGAAACTAGATGCAAATCCTTTTTCTCTTCATAGGCGTTTTGAGACTTTCAAACAGTTTTGCCTCCTGGAAATGTTAATTCAAGGAATTCAGGTCCTGTGCTTTGAAGAGTGAAATTCATTTGAACTGCAAATGAAAGAAATTTCAACATGACAACCTTTACCAATGTTGTTTTTACGCAAAGAATATTGCAAGATTCTTGACTTCAGCAACTGTTACATAATTTTCCTATTCATATATACTAAATCCTCTTGATATAGGGGAAGAGATGTAAAAAACCTATTAGATATCTGAAATGCAAGTTTGTGTTCTCTAAAATTGAAGAATGAATTCTAGGAACAATGGAGGTTAAGAGTAGGAAACATTTATTGATGGAAGGAAAGCTTCTGTCTAAGAGAGACAGAAGGACCAGAAAGTGGGTTGCCCACCCATCTCATGTCTCAAGATGTTTTATACAGCAAAGCCATGTAGTGAGGCGGGTACAAAGTGGAGCAAAACTATAAGACGCGATGGAAAATTACAAGGTAGGCATGGCGGGGCAGGGGGGGACACGACCATGATCAACCAATAAGATCACAAGTACAGTCACCCAGGTAATATTGATTAAGTGGGGATCAACTGGGGGAGCAAGTCACTTAGCAAGCAAACAAAGATTTTCAGTAAGAGTCGGGGTCAGGGATATTTCCTGGAAAGGCATGTTTAAGACCTTGGCCCCTACCCAGGTGATTGATACCTATTTAGAATATCAATCAATCAGTAGCTATTTATCCCGAGGGAAACACAAAAATATAGTAGTTTCTCTCCTTTTACAATTCTGGCCTTCAGAGAATGTGTCTTGATTGTCCTCCATGTTGGCTCCTTGAGGGTGGCCCTAACTGCCTACAAGATATCTAATTAACTTACCTATTTGAGATACTCTCATTGCCTACCCCTAAACATAAACATATACCTAACCTCTAGTGGAGAGAAATGGTGAAATGAAAAGCAGTTACTAAAGGACTGACTAGTGACACAGTTAGAAATGTCAAAAACATGAGCCATTATAAGATATAGATAAATGACTTTTAAAATATCAAAAGTAAGGATTTATAGATGATTGTGATGATGCATGCCTGCAATCTGAATACTCTGGGAAGTTGAGGCCAGAGGATTGCAAATTTAAATCCAGCCTGGGCAGCTTAGCAATTTAGTGAGACCTGTCTCAAAATAAAAGAAATAAAGAGTAGCTGGTGATGTAGCTCAGTGCGAAGGCCTTGAATTCAATCTCTACTACTGGAGGAAAAAAAAAAGACTTCTGTTCAATGAAAGGTACTATGGATAAAGTTAATACACAGCTGACAGAATATCAGGAACATGTCTGAAAGAGATAAAGGATTAATAACTAGAACACGAAGGAACTCTTGTAGATCAAGAAAAAGACCAACTCAAAAAGGAGTGAAAGAATGAACATGAAATTTATATACAGAAAAACCAAAAGCACTTAATTTAAGAAATGCCAAATGATACATCATTGTAGTAGATCAGTAGCAAACTGGAAAGCTGAGAAGAGCCAAGTGATGGTATGGAAATGCTGACGCAGGAATCCTTCTATGGTACTGATGGGAACGGAGACAGGGGCTTCCGCTCCACTCCTGGAATGTTTTCCAGATACTACAACCCATAGAGGTGACCAGTAGGCGTGGACAGAGTGGCTTCCTTTCCTGAGACTGTGGAGAGGTAAAGCAGGGTGACTGCGTCATATGGAATTGG